CACAATAATATTCATATGTCTTTACAGAATAGAATGGATGAATCCTCGAGCATGTATAAATGAAGCATACAATCCTACAACCATAGAGCATGTAGCAAATGTGGCTACTCATGGAATATGGATTGTACCATCTGTTATGGGATGTTTAGAACTTATCCGTCGATCTATAACATTGACACAATTTGTATCAGCTTATGTTTATGGTACATCTTTAATTCTTGTTTTTGCAGTATCAACTTTTTTTCATAGTGTGCATTACTGCAATTATAACAGGTACAAAAAAGTCATACAATGTAATTATTATATAAACAGAAGTGCTACAGTAAGTTATATTGCAGGCGACTTAAAGATGCGCTACACCGTTGTGATCGTGCTATGATTTACATTTTTATTGCTGCTAGTTATTTTCCTTGGTTGAATGTAGACCATTTCCCTCATGATGAACTATTGTTTACAATGCGTTATGCTATTTGGATTATGGCAATAATAGGAATACTTTATCAACAGATCTTCCATGAACGATATAAAATGTTAGAAACAGTTTTTTATTTAATTATAGGAGTTGGTCCTAGCATTGCAATTATTAATGTTGTAAGTACATAATGATAAATATTTACAAAATGAAATAGTTATAAATTATTGAAAGTCTGTATTTAATGATTGCAGTATAATTACTATAACATTACTGAGCTAAAAATGGGAGGACTTATCTATGTTACTGGCCTGGTATTTTTTAAATCTGATGGTCTCATACCCTGTGCGCATGCTATTTGGCACCTTTTTGTTGCTGCAGCAGCTGGATTTCATTATTATGCAATATTGTGTCATGTTTTCCCTACAACTGGTTCTCCAGATATTTATGTAGCAGCAGGTGTACCATCTTTACCTGAGTTAATGAATTCTCATATTGATGAATTATGAAAATGCAAAACAAAATATTATTCTTCTATAAATTGAAAACCTGGAAAATTAGGATCTTTAGGGTACAAATTTTATTGAAGATTGTATTTTGATTGCTGTGTCCAAAGGACTTTCTTTTAAGAATTAGATTCAATTGATAGGTACTTTTATGAATAGCAATTTGTGTAAGTGTACATGTATATTAAGAATGTGTACCATATTCACGAGAAGATGACACAGAGAAATTCCATCTATTTACCATATACAGATTATACCTAAGAGTAGAGTCCCCTGCATCCCACTGTCAACATCTGTGCCATTTTCTCGCGGACAAGCAGTATATACAGTTTTCCCTTGTTGGCATTCCATGATTCAGGCAAGTCAATAAATTGCTATCGAATAATAATAAACACTAATTCCTATTGGTTGGCAACTTGGATATATTGCTAGATGAGAGACAAAGAGAAGAACTACTGGATACGATCTAAGACAGTGATGATAACAAGATGTTAAAGGAAAATTGTTCAGTATTTTTTCTGCAACGTCGCGCGACTCGAGAGAATGTAAGATGCTTAGAATAGTGAAAGTCATTTTGCCTTTGCTCCAATTGACTGATTTTTTGCTGTCACTTTGCGATTCGCAATGATTCTATCATAAGATATTTTGGCAGAATTGGAAAAGCCACGTTACAGAGGGAATACTGTAGTTTCTGTGCAATATGTAAATATACTTGGAAAGTAATTATGATAAGTACCTGAATTAGAGAATGAAAATTACATTCACAAATTGTGGATGTTTATTAAAATGTTACTAAAAATGTTAGTAAATTTGAATTGTGGTATATATTTATATATTTAAAAAATTGACAGCATGGATTTAAATTAGTATGAAAAAGCAGCACTATTTAGCAGTGCTTAACT